TTGACAAGCAGGAATATAAAAAAAAGTCAAGTACAAGAATAGAAGTTGAGAAGGCAATTAATTAATTAAATAGAAAGAGTTTGGTACAAAAAACAGTAGTAAACTTTTAAAATTTACCTTCATTTTCAAATTTTGCTGTGAAGGAGAAGAGGCTGTAGACACTGAGGAGAAAGGTGTTATTGTAGGTGGTATGTCACTTACACTATGATGAAAAGCTTTTTTTATAGAAGGAAGTGATGCAGATGCCTTTAAGATTATTTAGTCAGTTTTGCTACCCTCTTACAGTTTCCATGTATTCACAACCAAAATACTTTGTCTTTTCTGGGCTTCTTTGTGAATTTGCTGGTGTGCTTTGAGTGAGAGCAGTGAAGGTTTCTTATGGGTTGAGTCTGATGCGTGCTTTGAAGGTTTGGGTGAGAGGCTGACTAGAAAGCCCCTCCTGGATGTGGTGTATGGGGTAAGCAAGCAAGCAATTCAAACAAGAATTTGTCTTGCAAGCTTGAAAATACCTAACACATTTTAGGTTGTGTTAGGTAGTCCAGTATACATACTCCGCTGTACTTATGTCCTGGTTGCAGACAGGACAGGGGTAATTTTTGCAGTAGCCAAGTGGTTAGTCTCTACTACCTCGCATCATTGCCCTGGACAGGCAAAGAGCATCTCATCCATTTGAGGGTAGTGTGGAGATGGTTCATGTATGTCCGACTGCGATGTGATGAGCTTTTTTGTGTGTGAATAATTTCTTGTGCACCCCACTGTTAATATTGTTGCCATTACTGTTAGTTTCTTTCTTCATTGCTGCTTCCAGTATGTTGTTCTCACCTCAACCCATAATCTCTACTTTTTGTGCTTCCAATATTCCTCCCCATCTCATGGCAGGGGGAGGGGTGAATGAATGAATGACGCATGGTTTGAAGGGATTCAGTGGGAGCACTGTGTTAGGGAACACCATTCCTAAATCACAGCAACCTTATTTGACACCCAGCATAGGGTCAAAGGATTCAGATAACAAAACATCTGACCAGAGTGGGTTTGAAGCAAATTTGATCTGTGTTTTATTTGGTACAGAACCACTGCTCACACTGTGATCTGTTCACATGGGTGTGCTACCTAAACCATTACATACTTCCATGTTTGCACTGTGTCTACTGCAGTGCTCTTTTTTCAGAGCAGAGAAGGCCATCAGGATGGCCTTGTTGCTGTAGTGTGTGATATCAGTTCAAAACATGATAATATCAATGTCAAGGAAGTAATTTGTGATATGTGCTTAGTGTTCCACTGCTACACTGGCCTTGGGTGCAACCTCTGGGAATTCTTTAGTTATCCTACCTAGCCTGTGAGGGGAACAGGGAAGGATGATTTTCCATACCTTTTTACCCTCTTTTACTTCTTCACACCTGTCACAACAGCTTTTGAGAATTTTTAATTCCCTTTTGGATGTTAAGGAAAGCACATTCATGCTGCCAGGTCTGCCAGGTCTCCTCAATGTGGTTTTCACCATGTTTAGAGTCAAAAAAGAGATCTGCTTAAACAAGGCTGTATAGTCATAAGTGGAATGGAATATGTGAGAAAATGTGCCAGTATTTGGAGACCTGTTCTGCTCCAATGGTTTTGAAGTTCACTTCTGAACAACTGCAGGACCCTGATGAAGTGGCAGAATATTTGAAAGAAAAATGCTGTGGCACTCGCAAGAGGCAAGCAGTTATGCACCATGCTGGGCTTTGGCTTCTATTTATTGGCTACTACTAGGCGCCTCAGGGGTAGGAGGAGGAAATCAGACCAACAGCCACTTGAGGCCACACAAACTGCAGCTGAACTGCAGGAACAGCCCATGCTGATAGAACAGGAGGAAGAGGCAAGGCCAGAGATAATCACTGATCCCTATCCCCAGGTTAGCTGCAGAATGTGCAAGAAGATTTCAGCCACCAGTCTGACCTGGCTGCAATATCACAGCTCACAGATATGTAACTAGGTGGTAATGAGGCCAAGCAGCCACGATCCCTGTCCCAGGATGTGGGCATTGACAAGGGGATTGGGAAGAGCACAGAAGCTCTCAGCCTTTGGGGATGACTCCTGTCAAGTGTGTGCACAACTCTCTGAAGGATAATCTAGTAGTGCACCCAGGCAGGTGGGACACCATGGAGAAAGCACCCAGTACCTCAGAGAACTGGCTGTGCTGGAGGTAATCTCCAGGGATTCAAATAATGAGCAGTCCCCTGTAGATGCAGATGAGGTCCAGTGTGCACAATCCACGTGGCAGAAGTTTGCATGGAGCACATGATCATCGTACACCAACTCATTAGCACTGATGTCCATGAACAAAGAGCTTCAGGTGATTACCTAGCTACAGCAATGTGATGATTATTGCCGCTGAAGATGAATAGATCACGTGGACACAGGTCGAGGTGTGGTGAAAGAAAGAGAGCAGAGTTTATTTTTCCTCCCAGGATTTATAGGCTTTTGACCACGGCCAGGGATTGGATGGTCAGGATAACACTTTCCCACTGCACTGGCCATGAGAGATGCCCATCACAAGACGTGTAACAGAAAGAATGTACACATATCTATGTTTACAGTTACTGTCCTGGGAAAGTCCTTAGAAAACCATGTCAGCAAGGTCAGAAGCAGAGTTTTCAGGGCAACATCTCACCCTTTTTGGTTTAACAAAAAGAAAAGAAAAAAGGAAAATGAACAAAGAAACTAGCAACATTATAAACAATCAAAATGATAAATAATAGGAAAATACAATACTCCATACAATCAGAAGGCTGTAATTTCAGGGTGGTATCTCACCCTGTCGTTATTACAAAAAAACAAAAACAACAAAAAACAACAAAACTCAAAAAATAAATGACACCAGTTGTCCAGCATCAACACCTGCTTGTGGATGGCTCTCAATTTGGTCATGGAGGCAGAATCCATGGCCAGATTGAAAGGTGCCTGGGAAAACTTCTGAAATGCTATGACGGCAGCCTGTAATTCTATCAGTTGGGCTGATCCAGCCTCATGACTCTCAAAAAAAACTCAAAGAACCTAAAAACAAAACAGCGACATCAATGGAAAGATTAATGTAATTAACTTGAGGAGCAGAAACTTGCTCTTCAGAGCAAGCAAACTTCTGCTTGCAGAACCTCCTCCAGCATCTACTGTGCCTGTGGGGTCAGTGTCAGAGGTGACTTTAAATCACAGTCCCCCTTTTAATAGACCAAACAAGGTTGTGTCCTGGTCAGTCCCATATAGGGACACAACCCTGTAAAAGTCCATTAATATTTGGACATCATTCATGCAGTGTCTGCACTGAATGCAAAAAAATAATTGCACCTCCAAATGCAGGACTGTTCATTCCAAAAATCATTTTGACCCTCAAATAATTTCAAGGAGGTTGTTTCTGGAGTCACTTGCAGCTCCATATCATCGGCAAATGCAGGCAAATTTTGCATGCCTTATGGCAAAATCTCCATTGATATCTCTGTGTGGGCTCAGCATTAATGATAGCTGGCACCAGAAAGGCAAATTTCGGTCAAAGTATTCACAAGCATAAAAAATGAATAATATTAAACAATAAAACCTCTTGCTGTTGTGAAGAGTTGACAAATTCACAAAGTCCTTTGTGACTTTCGCAAAGTGGGGTGTAGCTCAGCTCGCTCAATCTCTTATCAGTCCCTCCTGCACTGGAAAATGCCACATCTTGGGCCTCATTGGGCCAGAGATGTGAGCTCCTGGGGTTTGTCTGAGTTTTCAGTCAAGAGCAAGGCTGATCTGATCGGTTCCAAGGAAAAGAAAAGGCTCAGTCTGGAAACCTTCTCTGCCTCAGCTAGCTATAAAAAAAACACTAGCTAAAAGCAAAGGAGAGCTCTGTCTTGCTGTCTGACCGTGCTGCAGACAACACAGTTCAGGAGCAGAAGGCAGAGGCATAAGTGCTGTTTTTGAACACAAACTGCACACTTCTTCTTCCCTGGCTTTGCTCTCAGGACCAGTCTTAAAGGTGAAGAACTCAATATCCAGCATAAACAGAACAGATGATTGCAGATACAAGCATCATAAAGTCCCCCCCGGAACAGCTGGAAATGTCCCAGTGATAACATACTGAGGAAGAAGGAAATAGAGAAAAGTATTGCACGGTTTTTATTGCAGCCAGCGAAGAGTGGAGTGAGACTATGTGAGAGGAGCAATTCTGCAGACTCCAAGATCAGTGGAGAAGGAGAGAGGAGCTGCTCCAGGTGCCCAAGCTGAGCAGTTTGTGAGATGCAGCCCATGGTGCAGTCCATGGGGAAGCAGCTGTGCCCCTGCAGTCCCTGGAGATCCATGGGGGTGCAGAGATCCACCTGCAGCCCATGGAGAAGACCCACACCAGAGCAGGTGGACACCTAAAAGAGGCTGTTACTCTTTGGGAGGCTTGTGCTGGAGCAGGGTAACTGACAGGGATCTGTAGACCCGAGAGAAGAGAGAAGCCCGTGCTGAAGGTTTCCTGGTAAGACTTGTTACCCCATGGGGGACCCATGCTGGAGCAGCCTGTTCTTGAAGGACTGAGCCCAGTGCAAGAGTGACCCACATTGCAGCAGTTTGGGGAGGACTGTTGCCCATGGGATAGATTCACCTCTGAAAAGTTTGTGGAAAACTGTCTCCTGTGGGAAGGACTGCTTCTGGAAATACTGGAAGGACTCATCTCCCTGAGCAGAGGGAGGAACAATGTGTAATGAGCTAACCATAACCCCCATTCCTTTTCTCCCTGTGAGACATTGTGAGGCAGAGCTGGGACAGAGGTAGGGATGCAGGAAAGGTGTTCTTTCTTATTCCACTTCACAGTATCCTGCTCTGATTTTGTAATAAATTAAATTAATATTTCTAATTTGAACCTATTTTCTCATGATGGTATTTGGTGAATGATCTCCCCTGGTCCTTGACTTATAAACCCTTTGTAATATTTTCTCTTCTCTGTCCAGCTGCAAAGGGGAGTGATACAGAGGCTTTGGCAGGTATCTGGTATCCAGTCAGTGTCACTCAGTCACACTGCTGTAGAGACAGAAGACATTAAGTAGCTGAATACCTTACCTGGTCTTTCAGAGGACCCTTCTGCTGTGGGACTGCTGAGGGTTGAAGAACGGCAGGTAATGGTCACTATCACAACAGTGGAGTGTTGGCGATATCACACTAACCAGGATTCTGTGACCCCCTTCCATGAGATGATTCATGAATTGCAGCACCAAGGAGCAGTCAGTGAGATTCTCTCACCCTTTAGAGCCCTATATGGGCAGTGCATAAGTCCAGTGAAGAGTGGAGACTGACAGAATTGTTGTGGTCTAAAGGAAGTCACACCACCACTGCTGTGCTGTATGTGCTGGAACTTCAGTCTGAACTGGAATCCAAGGCAGCAAAGTGCTGCCTTAATTAATACTGCTTAATGTATTTTTCTCCATTCCTTTAGCTGCAGTGCCTGGAGCAGTTTGCTTTCACCTAGAGGATATCTAGTACACCTGCAATCAGCTGCCTCAGGGATGGAAACACAGCCCCACTGTTTTTCTTGCATTTCTCCAAGAATAAGGGTGTAAATATTGCTGAATGAGAGAAATGGCCAGCAGTCTACCTCTGCACTGACCTGTGGTTGGCAACAAATACCGTGTGCAGGTGGCTAAACCAATAGAAAAAGACCGGTTGGCAGAACAGAAATAAATGCATCTGGTCTGCTGAATTGTGGCAGGATCTCACTGCCCAGGTAGAAGAGCTGGCTGTAAAAGTACATCATGTAGATTCACACATACCCAGAAGTTGTGCTACTGGAAAATATCATAAAAATGGACAGATGGTTTGGGCTGTCGAGATTAAAGTGTCTTGGGTGGACCTGGACTGGCAGCATAGGGAAATTATTTCCAGTCAGTGGACCCAGGACACATCAGGGTATCAAGGAAGAGATACAACATAAAGATGGGCTCGTGAAAGAGAGGTGCACTTAATGATGGATACTACTTTTCAGGTTATTCTTAAGTGAAATGTGCACTGCATTTAAGCAAGCAGGTGGGGACAGCCCCTTTGGTGTGGTGAATGATGGTCAAAATCAAAATGTATGGTGATTTGGCAGGTTAATTACATTGCGCTCATGCGAACCCACCAAGGCAGGCTCTGAGTGCTGACAGAGGTATAAAGAAGTTCTGGATGGCTGGAGATGTACCCTGTGCCTCACACCACTGCCTGCAACACCATCTTGGGCTTCAAAAGGCAAGTCCTGTGACAACATGGCACCCCAGAAAGAATTGAATCGTACAGCAGGACTCATTTCAAAAATAGTCTCATAGACCTCATGGCCAGAGAGCCGTGGTATTGAGTGGGTATCATATTCCCTGTCATGTACCAGCCCCTGGGAAAGTTGAATGATACAATGGACTGTTAAAAATCACATTGAAAGCATTTGGTGGTTGGACCTTCATACACTGAGGTCTCTACTTAGCAAAGGTCGCTTGGTTAGTTAACGATAGAGAGTGGTTCCATGATTTGACCTGGCCCTACCCAAGTAAATATCATACCAAAGAGGGTGATAAAGTTCCTGTGGTGCATATTAGGAATGTGTTAGGGGATTATTAGTAGCTGAATGCCATAACTACCATGGACAGTGAGTCTGGACTGCTCCAGATACACTGGTCATGAGCTCATGATGCCTGACAGCACACCAGCCCTCCTGCCCTGGAAGACATCCAGAGTGGATACAACTCACAGTCACAGACTCGATGAATTTGACAGACATCTTGGATGGCCTTTCATGATGGAAATGATACCTGTGCTTGTGTATATGTACTCTGTGTATATTGTTGGAAGGTATAGGATTTGGGCATAAATTATATGGTGCATAGTAAGGGCTGGGTAATGTTCTGGTTCTTACCAGGGCAGGGTTATTTTTAGCAGTGGCCAGGATGGGTCATGGCTAGCACCTGGAGGTTATTCTATACTACCTCACATCATCACTGGGGACGAGGCAGGGACGGCATTTCTTCTGTTTGTGGGGAATGTGGCGATTGCTCAGGGCAGGTTTCTGTATGGTGGGCTTCTCCATGTATGAATCAATCGCCTTTCTTCTGCAACTTTGGTGTATTTCATGTAATGTTGTTCGTGTTACATTTCTGATCAAAACTGCTGTTTCCAGGAAGTCGGCCTTTTCTCAACCCGTAAACTTAACTTCTTACAATTCTTCTCTCCCTCCTGCCTCAGGGAGTGAGGAATGAGAAAGGGGGAGTGAGAAAACCTGTGCATGATTTGGAGTGTTTTCAGTAGTGATTCCTAAGTCACAACAACACAGTAAAAATAGTTTGATTGTAATAATTTTACTTATGAAGTGTCTTTTTCTTAAGGAGAAGCAAACAGATGCTTAGCAATGCTTTTGAAAGAGAAAAACAGAGCTGAATAAAAATATGACACTGTGTTGTGCTGTAGAATCTGAGTGACGCATTTGGCATTAGGTAGTATCACATCAAGCTTTACAAGCTGAGTAATAGTAGCAAAAAAAGTAAACATTTCATTAAAAAAGAGATGAAAAGATAAAAAAAAAGAAATTTCATGGCTAAGGAAATGTTTCACATGGCCCTGTGTAGTACTACTAATAGCAGTAATAATAGTATTTGGGGAAAAAAAACCCAAATCCATTACATTTATACTATGAAACAAACTTTAAGAATGTGGCTATAAACTTGGGCCAATTTAAGAGGCATCTCTGTGGACAGCTTCTGTATTTCATTTTTATAAAATGGACATCTTTCATGCTCTCAGCTTTAAATTGAGTAGTAATGAAAGAAAGTAGTGTGTGGGAATGAAGGGACTGAAATGCAGCCTACCTTTTAAAAGCTGTGGTCACAGGCTTTTTTTGTAATTCTTTTTAAATATAATACTTTCCTGTAGCTATTTCCTGTTAAAATTCCAGTAACTCTTTCTGATCTACTGAACGACAAGACCTTAAAGGTCTTGAAATTTCTGTCTTTTAAATACCATTGTCCTTAAAGTGTATTGTGTTATGTTGGAGGATTTTTCCAATAAACAAGAAAAGAAAAGGCTTTAAAAGTAGCTAGTACGTATTTGTAAGGTTTTCAGTTGAAAATAGTGTACTTTTGGTTCTTTACCAGTGTGCTAAAGGATAAGTCCTTTCCCAACAGTCCTTATAAATCTGTGCAGTTTTAGACACTAATGATGAGTAAGATGGGAATGCTGTAGCAGATGCTTTTCAGAGCATAGTTCTGTGAGGGTTTGGGGGGGGAATGTTAAAAAGTATTGCCTCTTCTTTCTGAGTTTGTAAGTGCCACAAATGAGAAAACTCAAATATTATATCTAAATAGCACTTATTGCCACAATTAGAAAGGCAATTCTGCAGAGGGTGCACTGGGAGTCTCATATATATCTTATGTTCTTGTTCTTCAGGGAAAAAAACAATGCCATTCAGTCTTTCTGGGAAAAGTAATTATTGGTCTTAGACATTTTCTCATACCTCTATGCAAAATTTACTCAATACTTAAAACCCTCATCTGGAGCAGTAGAAAATAAATTAGTTTTATAGAAAATAAAATAGTCTGTTCTGAAATTATTCTATTTATTGTGCAATTTCTTGGCTAAGAAGATTGTAAAAAATATTGAGTAGGTATTTCTAATTAGGCTTCTAAGAATCTCTTTTCTATGCATTTATGATTATTTTAGTCTACTTATGGGTAATTACTGTTTTAATTGAAAATTATTTTAAAACTTCCATCATTCATGAAGTATAGTAATTTGACAATGAGATTGATTGATGTAGTCTTAATTGGTGACAATGCCAGAGTAATTCTCTCCCTAGTTTGTATGTGGCATTGGGATAAAAGTTGATTTGTAAATTATTTTTTTGTAAGGCCTTATACCATATATAAAAAAGACAGCATTGTATCAGATTTATCCTTTTTAAAAACATTCCCAAACTTACTAAATATAACAGGAGTTATAGCAGGCACAAAATGCTCAGAAGAAGCATTTTGAATTTTGAAAACCAGAAAAGAAAGACAAAATAATTGCACTCGTATACAGACACACTTCTGTGTCGTCACACTTACAGTTTTAGTAACTATATAGACTAATAAGGAGGTAGGGAAAGCCCCTGGATTTAGAGGTAGGATTCTTAATGCTTGTGGGCTTCTTGTGTGAGGGTGGCTTGTTTATAAATGCTGGACCTTGGTTTATACACTGTGTGGGATTCCAGCTGCAGGATAACCTACTGAGAGCTGAAGATGGTATAGGACTGTCTCTCAAGAGCTACTCAGAAAATGGCCATTTGTTCTTTACAGAAGGTTATGAAATCACATTATCCTTTATTCCTTTCTACTGATGTAACTACTCAGGAGTTTCCTTGTAACTCCAGATGGCATGTTCCTCTTTTGAAGTCACTGCCTTTGACCAATAGTGTTTGATTAAGTTTATGTAAATTAGAATTCTTTCCTTGTCTTTGAACATTTTTTACCAGTCCCAAGTAGCAGCAAATCTTAAAAAACAGTGCTGATTCCTTTCTAGTCTCAGCACTTTCTGTGGCTCAAAGAATTGGGGAGAGACAACAGGGAGAACTCACAGATTTTAGTTATAAATTCTGGCACGTAGATATTCCTACAATATGGGCAGGCCTAAGTTACATAGTTTGAAAAAACTACAGATATTAAAAATAGTAGCATATGCTATTTGTCAGAAATGTGCATTTTCACAGTTCTTTTTGATAATACTATGATTTAAGGGCTGATATAGCTGCCTTAGATCACAGCACTGCATTCTGATATTACAGCTTTAGGTGGAAGGCATAGCTTTCTGTTTCATCCGCTGCAAGGACTCTGTTTCTTTTCTTATATTTTATTCACATTCTCTTATTTAGTGAGTCTTATGGCAGAATTTGGAAGAAAACTGTATTCAGGTTATAAATGAGTATTTAATTATAGTTACTTAGAATCTCTCTTTAAAAAAATACAAAGGCAAATGTTTTAAGTATATGGTGGATAATAATTTATGAATATAAAATTAACATTTAAGTATAAGTTTATGACAACAGCGAATGTGGAAAGTCTGCAGCGGAGGGGAACATTGCAAGATGATTTTAGTAAAACTTGTTTCAAAGTTATTTGTGGCATTTAAAATACTGAATAAATAAAATCATCATGAAGACTAGTGGTTCTGTTTTGTTGGGGTTTTTTTCTTGTATGCATTAAATGTCTTTTTTTTACTGGAACATTATATTCTTTTTGTAAATGTTGCATATGATTCAGCAAAGTCTAACAAACAGGTGAAAGGCAATTTGGAAAATTTAAATAGAGATCTTCAATACATAACAGAAACAAAAATGGGTCATGTTCTTTTATAGAGAGAATTTTTAATTTTCCTTTTATTTTACAAGTGTATTTTAAACAGTAAACAATTTTAAAGGATTTTTACCACAGAAAATTGGGTAAAAAGCTTTTACAATGTAAGAATAGAGATCAAGAAATTACAGTTTTTAAATGGATTTCTTGTGTATGCTCTATATGGATTTCAAAATAATTTTAAATATTCAGACTGTTTAAATATGTAGAACAGTAGGAATTTCACATTTAATAGTAGTATCTCAGGCCACTGCCATTGCTTTTGCTGCCTGCTGTGTGATTGTGGATGACATATTCTGTGCTGTAAAGCAGCTTGAAAGAGTTATGCGACTAAAGCTAGGTAAAGGAAATCATTGTTAAGGTCTCATTGGAAGTATAAGCTGAGTGATGAAAAATCTTGTCAATTCTCTCATCCTCTTTTAGTTTTGCAAGGATGTTAGGGCAATAAAGAGATAACGCCTGTAAGATAAGCAGTAACAGAAAAATGCTTCAATGATTTGGCTAATTCTCTATACTTTCAGTGCTGCATTTTGACATATCCCTCAAATTGTGGTTACATTGAGATGTGCGTATTCAACAGATGTGCTCATAAAAAATTCTGTTCAAGATTTAGCTAAATGCTGCCTTTACAAACAGTATGTCTGAGAACAAAGGATTAATATAATAAGTATAAACATTACAAATTGATCTCAGAAATCCCATGGAATTTCACATGTATGTTTGTACTGGGAGGTTTTTACAATTATGTTTAATTTAATTGTTTTTTCAAAATGAAGAAATACCTAATTGGAACTAAATATAATTTTTATAAGAGATTTCTTCCATTTGATTGACACTGAAAAAGAAAACACACAAAAAGTGCTTTTCAGTGGTAAGCACTATGAATTTTAAAAGTAAGAAGTATCTGTTGTATTAACTTGAGTGTTGTGTAGTATTTTTTTTAAACAGGTGTAATGACTTTCGGTAAAAATAGTTTCATAATTTATACCTGTTAGAAGTGGGAAATTATTACAGTGAGGTTAAATTTCATTGATACCATGGGTTAAAATAAGAGACCTGAAAAATACTTCTTTTTAAGCTTAACTGTACATAGGTTAATTTTCTTGAGTAGCTACTGAAAAGATTGACAGCTATGTCATTTTAATGTTGATTAACAGTCCTCTAATATGTTTTGAAAAGAACTAGGCCTATTAAGATAGGGACTTAGAGAGTTGAACCTGAAGCAGATTCTCCAAGATGATTTGTCTTAAAACATCATAATAGTAAATTGAAATATGATGGAATGATACTTTTATGCAGATTAATAACAACAGTTAAATTAATCTCCTTTACAGAAAAAAAAAGTGGGTTATTATTGTCTAAAATACTTCGACAGAATTTGGAGTTTCAAAATATAGTTCTCCTCCATACTATGCCAAATACAAATTTTAAGAAATGGATTTCTTTCTTAAAATAGAAACACTGGGTGTTTTGCCATCAGAGAAGGTCTGTGTCATACTGGTTCTTTGAGATCATCAATGACTGTCTGCTCTTTGGAGCAACAGGAGAGGAGGGGGAAAACCCAAATGGCAGGGGAGGGCCCTCCCTAGCTGATACCTATTCTGCTGCCCCCAAGGGAGACAAGGAGGGCAGGCAGCAGGCTGGTTGTGCAGTTCTGCTTAGAGTCCAGATCGTCAGTTAAAGTCTTTTGGTGCACTGAAGGCTCTGGCTCTGGCAATGCTAAATAACAGTAAAATTTCTTCTCAATTGTACTAATTTCTGTCTTGATGTTCTTATTTTTTTTCTTCTGAAACATTTTTGGGTTTTGATTTTTAGAAGACGAAATTAGTATTAGCTATCTAAAACAGTATTTAAAAGCTGAATAATCAAATGTTGCTTTTCTCCCATAAACCAAGACTGAAAGGAATAATTGCTTTGTTTTGACAAGTGAACCAAAGAAGTATGACACAGAAGTCTTACAGGAGTGCATGCATGAAAACTAGGCTGTCATGTTTACAAGGTGATTTTTTTTCATTTGATGAATTTTTCAAACAGTCACTAGTCTGTAAACTTTACTGATATTTTTTCCAAGAAACTCAAGCTTCTTTTGGCTGTCCTTTAAGGAAAAGAGTTGGGATTAAATATAAATACACAGTTTTGATTGTGCAGCTATTTTTTGAAAACTCTAACTCATTCCAAACTGTTAGCATTTTTTCAGTATATATATATTTATTATACAGTTACTATTACACCAATCATTGATTGTTCTAAAAGACAGTTGAATAAAAGATGGGTTTGAGTTACAGGTATTGAATGGAGTTAAAAATCACATTCTGTGTAAACCTTTTATAAGAGAAAAGGGAGTGGGTGACTGAGTCTCATAATTGAAGAAAGATCTGTATTTTCATTATTCCTTATATCTCTGCTCTGTAAAGAGATATTTAATGGTTTCCATTTAACTTCTACTCTTAATCAGTGTCTTTAATTACAGTAACATCTGTTAAGTTTTATATTAAAAGGCTGACATTTCCTCAATGTTTTAAGAGATATATTTGGTTTACATCCAGGCTTTTTCACCAGCAGCTGATTGAGTTTCAGCTACATCCCAAAATGCTGCAAGTGTTTGAATTGTTATTTGCAAAGGGGTATTCTGTAGCTTTTCAGAATTTAATAAAACATATCCATGACATATTTCATATTGGTGTGCTGTTAATTGAGATATGCAAGATATTATGCTTTAGAGAGCTTCCTTTTTTTTTTTTTTTATCAAACATGGCTTTTTGGAAGAGCAAAACCAGAAATGTGCATTTCTTCTACTTTTAAGTCTACATCTATGACCAAAACCAGTCATCTTGACCTTGCATCTTAAATCCCTGATTTTCTTTTTAAACATGTGTTTTGTGGACAGTTCATTTAGAAAAATTCAATCTGTTTTTCTAGTAGTGCCTCTAGATAACAACCAACACTGTAGTTGCTTTGTAAAAGAGTATTTCTTGCAGGAAAATTAATGTATTTATTATATTTTGTTGCTCAAACTTTGTGCATCTGAATGTTATGTTTGTTCCTCATGTTGCTGCTGGATAGTATTAAATATGACACACTAAATAGTAGACATGAAATACACTGGTTATTAAGAAGGTTCCAGTTTTTATATTATATTTTTCTTTAATTTTGATATCAAGTCATCACTGATGATGAAATCAATTTCATTATTTCTCAAAAAGGGGATGCAGGAAAAAATAGAGAACAGGAAAAAAAAAAGCCCTACTAATGCTTTGCTTCTGATACAAGGACACAAGGGTAGTGTATTAGTTTCAATATGCTGGTGGATTTGACCTTTGTTTAGCAAAATGAGTACAAAGTAAGATGAAGCTTGGTTTAGTCTGAATTTTTGTTTGCATGCATTTGCAATGATGAATTTGCATTTGCTGAATTTCCAGAAAACAGTTACTCCTTGGACAGAAATTATAAGTATACAGAAAATAAATTTACCCTGTAATGTGTTTATTTTTAGTTTATATATATAATAGTGAGAATTTTATTTCTAAATCTTGAAAGAAAAAGAAAAAGCTGCTGCTGTGAGTAAGGTAAAATAACTCATTTATTTATACCAAAGAAATGCAAGGTACTATAAAATTTACATCTACATTTGCTTTCCTGGCTTCACTCTGTAGCAGTCTATGCAGAAGCATAATAAGCTAATATTTATATTATTATATAATCTAATATCTCCAAAGAACAAGGTGTTGTATACTTTGGTCCTTCTGATCTGCATCTTTCCATTATTTGACCATTTTGCTGTATTTGTTTTACAGATTCTAAAAATGGAATGGGGAGGAGAATGTTCTTTTGATTCTTCCAATTTAGACTGTTTGTTAAATGTCCTTCCTGGAGAATTGGAATTTCAACAAATCCTTAGTGATCTTGATGAAAAAATAAAGAAGAACTCTTCCAGGTAAGGAGTATTTTATTTGTATCCAAAATACTAGTGAAAGTAATTGCATTTGGGAAGAAATGTGGCTTAACTCACATTTATTTTCTAGTAGTAGTTTAAAATTCTGATAAATATTTCAGCAGTAATTTTATTTTAACCACTAGAGCATTTAACAAATTTTTAACGCTATATAATTACTGTACTATAGTCTTTCTCTCTATGCTATTTTTAACAGTTGTACCATCTTAATCTTAGGTTCTGTTGCAGTAGGTGTGATAGTGAAGGAAGAAAATGTGAATTCCCATGACAGTTGTATTTTCTACTGCTATGAGATAGAATTTCCTACTAATGAGAAATTTTTATTGACTGAAAGGACTACAGAATCTGACAAAAAGCAACATATAAACTCAGTATGTTCTTTAAGCTTTTCTAATGGAAGTAGAAAAATGAATTAAGTTAATATATGTATATTTTTTTCTTATATGATCCATTGTTTTACTATTTAAGTTACAACTCTTGTGCTGCAATTACACATTTTCTTACTACAATATATATTTCTTTGTCTACTTCCTTGTAACATACTGATTTCCAAAAATCAGTGTTGTAGAAACAGTGGAGTACTAAAAAAGTTCATTATTGATGCAGATTTTTTGCATGAATACAAAGAAATCAGCTCAGTGTTCTGTGCCTTATTTATAGCTTAACTCTTTAGTACCTTTGTAATACTTTCATCAGTGAAAGATGCTCTTAAGCAAGTAAAGTTAGTGTCCATTTAAAAAAACAAGTGTATGGTCAGAGATATAACAAATGGCAGGATTTTACATTAAATTTTGAAACTGCTTACCTTTGGAATAACAGTGCATCTTACTGAGAGTTGCATGATTTCAAAGAACCTCCTGCATGACATCTCTTTCAAGATCGTATCATTTTAATGTAGCCCATATTTTTCAGAGATCTTTGCTCCCAAACAGCTTTTGGAAGGATGGAAATAAACCATTACCATATCTCTCTGAAAACTGACTTAGATAATTTCTCAATTATTGTCATATTAGTTATACTAAGAGAGCTAAGAGGTTTTTTTTTTGGGGGGGGGGGTGTTTCTATTACTGTTACCACACATTTTCATTTAAAAATTTGATGTTTATATGAAAGTACTTGCAATATTAGTAATCCCGTGGTAGCAATGTTGCTGAAGCTCTAGTAAATATGCTGTTATGGACCACTGCATAATACAATTCCATGTTAGAGATTTCCAGCTGTTAACATGAGTGAAATGTAGATATACTTACTTAGAGATTAGTTTATGTCATAACATAGTTAGTTACACAGGTAATTAAGTTTCGAGTGTCTATGGTCTTACACATCTGGAAAAAACAGCATCAGCATTTTTAGCATAACTGTTGTCCCCTCTTCAACTACCAAATAAAAGTGATTTTGTTGTCATTCTGCAGAGATATCCTGAGAGTTAGGAAGATTATTCTCAAAATAAACCTTTGGAATGAATGCTTCACTACTGTTTTTTGTTTTAATGTGTGAAAAATGTATGCTACTTGTTGAGAAGACGTTTGACTATGGGAAGGGAAGCCAGCTGTTCATTCTTTTAAGTGGTACTTTATAGCCACTTAACATTATATGTTATATTTTAGATTAACATCATCACAGTGGAAATGTTTGTATGTCTCGAAGGAGGCTGATTGTCACAGCCCTACCTATCTAATCTTAGAAATTAAAAGGACCTTTCACTGTAAATTCTGTAAGATCCAAATAATATTTTATTAAAGGAATGCAGGAAACTGGATAGGATGTGGTACACATCAATGCAGGTCAGGAAAAGTTTTGTATTTCAACTGAATTGACACTTAAGCTAGCAGTTACCAGGTGCTGTTTTGCTCCTGTAGTATGTCAGTTTCAGAAATTGAGAGAGTTTAAAATAAGATGAACAGCAGCTGATGTGAGTTTTAAATTAAAAAAACTCCTTTTATTCTAATATATTAGAGGTAGCATGGAATGAAATAATTTTCAAGTTACCATTGATCTTTGTAAGTGGTATGATAAGAACAGCTCTGTGTGATACAGTGATGCAATTGAAATACAATCCATTTTTCATAAAATAGATTTATACTTTTATTAGACCACAGAGAATGAACATAATAGTATACATCATATATATATATTTTAAAATAAAACATTGTGTAAAAAATTATGAGGCAAGAGTGTATAAATCATTCAGCTGCTCATTTATTGCCTTCTAACTGAACAGGTTTTATAAAATTGTGTGACATGACAAATCAGATATGTTTTTCAGCTGTTGAATTACCTTCAGTAGTTTTGTACTGTACCAATTCTATTTGGTGCTATAACAACAAGGGGAGGCCATCTATGTGCAATTGTTTTATATGCAAATTTTAATGTAGAAAGTGGTTCATTCATTCACTATTATTATTATTGTGTAACAGAACTCTTATTACACTTGAATGTTAAGTTTATTTTTAGAGCAGTTTATAGAAACAGGTGAATATGAACTCTCAAAACTATTGTCATTGCTGGCCAGTTTTGGTACAGGGGTAATCTCAAGGTTATTCTCCAGTGTGAAGTTATATTCATTGAGTTGGACTTTTGTCTTCATTCTTTCCTTTCACATTTACTTTGACTTTCGCTGCTTATCAAAATTTAGTATTTGGATTATTTTTCCTAATTGGTGGATTAAGAATTACTAACATTTCATTTGTGAGCAATCTGCAGAACTGAACTTGTAGCTTATTTAATTTAATACTTCTAAGCAGGAAATACAGTACAGACTTGAAACCAAGCCTCTATTTCATAACTTGAAGTGATTGTTAAGCATGAGGTCTCTTCAGCAGTTGATTTTTATTTGTGTATTCAGTTTTTTCTTTAGTGAGTACTGCCTTTTAGTTGTCATAAAGCAAGAAGATTTTATGAGACTGTAGGACAGTAAGAGATATTCTAGGTCTTCATCAACAGAACAATTGCTTAGAATTCAACACAATTATTTAATAATAATTGTATCTCCACAGCACCCTGGAGACGAAATTTGTGAGGCTTTTCACAAATGCCTGATTTGACTTCGATCTGATAAACTTTGTGTTGGTTTAACACAGCCTGGTTGATTTTTTTGGGGGGATGAGCCACAGAAGTGCTTTCTGTGAGAAGCTACTAGAAGCTGTCATGATGTCCAGTCTCTGATGGCTCTGAAGATGGACATCGTGTTGGCCCAGTTAAAGTTGGTAATGCCTCTGTGATGACACATTTAAGAAGAAAATCCACACAGGAGCAGTTTCCAGAGGTGGCAAGGCACCACTGCTGGGACCATCTCAGCACTGCATGTGCAGCCATGCTGCTGCCGTGGCTGCCACCATTTCTGCACAGCCCACAGTGAGCTTTGCCTGCCTGGCCACCCCTAGCCAGCCATGCTGCAGGCAGGAGGGCAGGGCCAGTGGTGGTGGCTTCTCCTTCCTGGTGCCTTGAATGAAGAGAGTCAGGCATTGAATAGTTCCAGCACTGTAGCAGGCACATGGCTTGCATGGTGGTGGCTGGGCCATGTGGCTAGCAATGGAAACATGGCAAGTGATTCCTTACACAGAACTTATATGAAATCAGCACTGCAGGATCCTGCAGAAATCTTTAAACTGGTGGGATTTATTGGTAATGGTACTTAAGAGCAGCAGGTTTTTTTCTTGGTCAGTGAAAGAGGAGAAAGTGAGGATATGTGGAAAAAGACATGGCCACATCAAGGTCTGTGAAGAGAAAGAGGGGAGGAGGTGCTCTCATCATTAGAGTCAAGATTTCTCTGCAAGTCATGTGGAGGGCTATAATGAAACAAACTATCTCCCTATAATCCATTAAGTCCATGAGGGGATGCAAAGAGCCACTCACAACCTGTAGGAAAAGTCCTCATGCTGGAGTGGGTGGATACTAAAAAAAGCTGTAAACCAATGGAAGATCCAAACAGAGAGAAAGGGCCCTTGTTTCCAGAGGTAGAGAAAAGAGGTTCCTTACTTCCAAATTAAAGCAGCTTATCCTTAAAGGACTACAGCTCAAAAACTAGAGGCTCACACCATAGCAGTTTTGGGAAGACTCTTGACCATGGGAGGGACTCATGTTACAGCAGGTTGGATGGGACTGCTACTCGTGAAATTGGAACCACATTGGAGAAGTTCATGGAGAACTGTCTCCCGTGGGAGGGACCCCATAGCATAGCAGAAGTGAGACTCCTCTCCCTAAGCAAACTAAAGAAAAATTTTGAGTGATGAACTGACCAAACACTTCCATGATGTCTTCCTGCACTGTCGGTGGGAAGGAGAGAGGGTCTGGGGGGAGGAAAGTGCTTTAAAGGCTTATTTTACTCCCCATTATCTTCTTCTGACTCTGTTAATAATAGGTTTACTTTATACCTTTAAGTTTGAGCGTGTTTTGCCCTTAGAGTGTTTTCTCCCAATCCTATCTCAGCTCATGAGCCCTTTCTTCCAGTTTTCATAGGTGCTTGGTGTGTTAAACAGTGTCAAACCATGACAGACTTCAACCTAATCAGCAGTAGTTCAGTCATAAGGATTTTGAAGAAGGTCTGTTTTGCAGGACTGCAATGAGGTCAATGCTAGTAAAGTGCTTATAGCATTGCATCTTTCCCCATCACTATTTGATATAAATTATGATAATTATTTGAGAACTAACAAGATCTTTACCTTGTGAAAAGAAATGCTTACCAATCTAAAAATTTTACAACAAAGGAATGGAGGAGTTTCAAACAGGCTATTAAGTCAAGCTATCTCATTCAATTTTCCTGTGTCAGAACTGATATGTGCAAGGACTTACCTGTTTTTACACTGACATGTGCTGAAGGAGTTATTTTTCTGTTTTATTTGGGAGGAAATCTTGGCCTGTTCTGCTCTGGAGATTTCAGGAAGTAGCTATACCTCACATTCCTGCTAGTCAAGAGATTTATCAAATATTACCAACTCTAACCAAAATCCCAAGAGTGATTGAGTATTTGGGACAATGTCGAAATGAGGGCTAACTGTAGAGGAAAAAAATTACGATTTTACTGAGACCTAATGTTTATCACAACTTCCAAAAATAATTTGACTCTTTTGAGTGAATGTAACTGGCTTGTTGTACAAATGTATTACTTTAGTGTTTGCCTGAGAATTTGACACCTGTAAAGATATTAGAGCAACGTTATTAAAGTCTTTGTCAGAATAGTAGTTGTCTAATCACTTTACTGAACCAATTGCTAGGAACAAGTAAATAAACCGAGAAAGAAATGTAATTTTTTTCCTTTAGAGCCTGTGTTGTCTTTGTGCATAATCACTGAGTCTGGGTTAGTTGTTCAATTATCAACTTGCTAGCCGGCCAGCACAGCTCCTCAGAAATAGGCTGTTTTATTGACACACTGTTTCTTTACTCAAATATTCAGGGATTATCACGGTTGTCAGTACCTTAGGTGGTTAATTAGCTGTCGTCTACATCTACAGAAGCTGTAATCAGATCTTTGACTGCCCTGCAAAGTATCCTATTTAATTTCATATGAGCAGATATGAGATGATGGGTTTTGAACCCTTATTTGTCACTGTCATGTTTTGATCAATGGAGTTGAAAAACTCATGTTTTACTGCCTGTCTTCTGAAATAACTTACCAAGACAAAGGTTGTATCTTGTGACTGAAATATCTCAAGCCTTTAAAACAAGAGTGGAAATTTAAGGTGGGAGAGCAGTGGTTTGGTTAGAACTGACTGTTCTTATATGGTCAAACTGTTGAGTAACTTTCTCTTGCTAAAGTGTAGCAAAGTCATCACCATTCTATTTCCTTTGGTTTTAGTGATACAGTTACTTTACAGTTAGAGTGGATATGGTTTGTAAGTAGCTAAATTTGAGATACCAAATAATTTTCAAAGTTCTTTAACCAGGTGCTCTGTCTTTGGTTTACATTTTAGGATTCAGGATCAAGAGACAGTTTCACAATCAAAATATCTGTGCTAGAAGTCTTTCTCTAAATTTTTTTATTACTCACAGCAGGTCCTTAGATACATAGATTTCCAAATGATATGACTTTTTTTTGTACAGATGCCCTATACCTCTAGCAGTCAAGCTTTTTAATGAGTAATAACAGTAGTTTTATAACACTGCTTACATCTTCAACAGCAGTGGAAACAATGATCTCATTTATTTTAAAACAGTCTGTTCTGAATAAAAGACATGTAAACTGATTCTAAAGCTATGTTTCCATTAATATGATGATCTTAAGAATAAGGAACATGAGGTTAAAAGATAATTTCACTTTATAGCTTAGTAGTTTAATTTAACCAATGATATTGTCATTTTATAGCTGCTCCCTATGCTAGATGAAATAAATTGAAATGCACTTGTTAGAAATTGAAAGGAGTCAGGAGATCATACCTCAACTTACTCATAATAATCTTAGGCAATAGAAAATGATATATGGAGAGGGCAACCCTTATTCTGATACCGTACTTTTCAAAACAAAGTTGTGTGCCATTGTATGACAGTATGGTAGTGCTTACATTATCAGTTCCATTACAGTACTTTTTAAACTGTTTGTCTGTTGATGAAGCCACTTTAAAAGCATTCTCTCCAGATGATTAGGTTATTTGTAAAAACTATCATTAACTTAATAGATAAGAGCACCTAAGGGCTCTTACATTGAGATTATCTCTCTGCAGTGGGGGTATTTACCGAATGTTTCTCCAGAAAAACACTCCAGTGTGGACACAGATAATGTAACACAACTTTGCTTTGTTGTGTTAAAGAACTGCAAACACTCTGACTTATAAGAAGGAGGTATTTCAGTCAAATAATTTCCACTTGCATAATGGTATGCTAGTAGTACTAGCCACACAGGTGCAAGGTACTACTTGTGTGGGATTAAAGTTTTGTTTCTTGAAAAATCAGTCAATTAAAAAAATGCCAAAACTTACAAGCATAACTATCAGATTTCTTTGCTCCACAGAAAAGTTGGGGATTTTTTGTTGAGCTTTTACATTCCACTCCTTCTCCAGTAGTTTGGTGACTGTTTTTTTTTCTCTTTGTGTCTGAGCAGTTCCACAGGTTCCAAAAAAAGATTGAGTCATCTGCAGCCAAAAAATTTTTGAGGACTGTTAAATTTGCATGTCCATAGCAGGTATATGATGTCAGTTGACATCATCTGGATTAATGCCTAAGTATGTTCAAAAAAGGAGCTAATTTGCTGCTCTGAACTTAAAAAAATACATTTGTACTTAATGAAAAAATATTATTGAGAAAAAGGGAATTTAGCACTTTATATGGCTTTTTTAGAAATTGTAATTTTAAAAACATTAAGCATATTTTTCACATCAAAATTATGTTTTTGTTTGCAGTTTATGAAACTTTTGCAAATTTATTTTCTAAACCAGGAAATCAAAGTCTCATTCTACCTACAGTGGTATGAAATGATACAGTTTTGATACCAGCCTAGGTGGTGAGAATAATTTTAATCTTATTTAATGGAAGTCTTTTACTTAAAATTCTTGCTTTCTAAACTCAGATAATACACTTCATTCTTCTTTTATTTTTTTTTTACAGTTTACAAATTCCTAAATATATAATTAATTTTATTCATGTAAAGGATTAAGTAACTATAATTAACTATGTTTTTGTATTATTGAGTGTTGACAAAATTCTTAGTAAGATACAGCAGTGGTTTTGAGACCCTGTTTACCTCCAGTATTCTGTATGCAGTAAATCAACAGGATGAAAATATGTTTATTCAATCAAAACCAGCTTTAGTGTTAATTAAATGTTTATTTTGGGAAGATAAAAGGGTTAAATAAAATTAACATAGTTATCATGATTTATACCTATGGAGGAAGTAAGGAGCAGGAGAGTGGCACTGGAATTTATGCATTTAACCCCCTTATCAGTATTGGGACCGATTACCTAAATGTCTGGTCCTTAGAAGGCTGTAGCTTATTCCTAGCTTGAAGTTTATTAGCTCGCTCACAGATCCATATGTCAAAGATAAGTGTAAAAATTCACTCATAATAGCAGCAGATTGGCACAGATTTAACAACAGTAGTGTCTTTTATATTGCACAATGCTGTAATCTATTTGGGCATGTTTGAGATACATCAGCACACTACAATAAGAGCCTTTGATAGTGTCCCAGGAGCCAAAGTGTGCGAAGAAGGCATTTAGTTTCATAGTCCTGAGAACTGGTTTCAAACCTAAAAAGATACTTGCCAGTCTTTCGTCAAGTTTAGAACTGGAATTCATGGCTGGACTATTAAGCCTGGTTTTGCCTGGATCTAAATCCTATTTTTCTAACTGAAACTGTATAAAATACTAAGCATTGCTTTTGAAAAAAATGTAGAAATGAAATACTGAAAAAGTGTTTTCGTAGAAAAATAGGGTTAGATTGCTTTGGATTTTTTTTGGTTTTTTTGCTTGCACCTCAATGTCCACACAAATAGAAATAAAATAATTCTGGATGTTCAATTGTTCTTGTGATCTTTGCAACTGAAATCACTCTAATAACCTAACAGACACATCTGGTTTCATAAAAAGAGTTACGATCCTAGATGAATGTTAAGGAGTGGATCAGCTCCTTGAAAACAAAGTCTGTTTTCTTTCAAATATTCTAATGACAAAACAAGAAAGAAAAGATCTGCTTTCTCAGCACAACTGGTTCTAAAATTCTTTTCAACATTTTCTGTGTTGTAAATGGGTCTTTAAGAAGTTATTAATATATCTTATGGTTTATAAAACAACTGATGATTGCTAAAGGAGAAAAATGACACATTCACCTTTGAATACAGCAGTTGATTCAGTTTATAGTCTCTGCTTTAGTTAATTAAACACCAAGGACCAGATATTGATACCAGGTTGGATAATGTCTTATTCATTAACTACTCTAATAAAAAGAATAAGATTGTTTGAAAGTGAAGCTGTACATACTCTTGCTGAGGGTGGTACAGTCTGGCCTGAGGGAAAGTTTTTTTACCTCTAGCTCAACAGTACTTAAGTGTTAGTTGTTAATTCTGCAAATTCAGGTCTTAATTTGTGAGGGTAGCTTAATTCATGAATAAGAAGGACTAGTGTTACCTTAATTTGAAATAGTCTTTCTTTTTAAAATATGGAACATATAAAATACTTTTGTCTCCAGATAATGAAGAAAAGTCCTGTGATTTTTCTTTTTTCTTTTTTTTTTTAGCATAGAAAAGTGTCTTAAGGACCTGCAATCAGACATAAATGAAATATGTACTGATGAAGTACTACAAAGCACAACTGACTGCATTCAGTGGCTAAACAACTGCAATTTTAGTTCTCTCAGACCTTCTTCTACAGACCACGGAGAGCTGCTGGAGTTCCTTAAGACCCTGGTAAAAATCGTTTATTAAAGACTTTAATGTTGAAAAGATGGTTATATGATTTAACGTGGGAGAGTGGGTGGATGAGTTCAATTAGTTTTCTCATTTCGGTCTTTACTGTTGTGAGGATAGTTCATAAATTCATGTCTCCAGCAGGGTGTTATGTTTCCTTTTGATCATGCCTTAAATAGACAAACTTGGAACAAAATCTTTTCACAGATGCTACCATATGTTCAGCACTGCTTGGATTGTTTAATAAAACACATGTTGGTGAGAAAACATTGGAAGTTACTGTCTACAGTGAGGCTGTTAATGTTACTGCATGTTCTTCAATTGTATCAGTATGAATTCAACTCATCTAATATTTGTTATTGTCCTTTATGCATTATTTAAGCATAAACTTCCTGCTTGCTATGAGTCCAGAGGGGTAGGTGGTAGATGCTCCATCCCTGGAAATGTTCAAGGCCAAGTTGTACTGGGCTTTGAGTAGCTTCATCTGGTTGAAAATGTCTCTGCTCATAGTAGGAGGATTGTACTAAATGAGCTTTAATAAAAGTCCCATCCAATCCAAATGATGCTATGATTTTACACTTCCCAATGAGAAATCTGGGAGCCACATTAATTGTTCTACCAAGTTATACAATTAGATGCAGCCAGAAATCAAATTTCACTTCAGTGAAAAATACCATCCTTTCAGAGAGTATTTTTATCCAAAATTTTTATTAAAAATTTACATTTGAATATATGTGTGGAAATGGAATTCTGAAAAATTGGCAAGATGAATGAAGGTTGATCCCTCAGTAAATTATGATCTTCCAGTTTATGTGTAAACTATGTATGTGAGGTCAAAACAAAGAAACAGTATCCAGTGATTATTCTTTGTCATTTCTGTGCCATGGTTTAGTTGTAGACAAAGAACAACTTTAGGCTAAATCAGCTGTAATGGAAACAGACAACTGTGGAGAAGTGGAGTGTTTTTTCTGGCCGGAACACAGCCTTCATAAAATCAGTTCTTGGTTTTTTTAGCTCTTTGAACTCTTGGTACTGTTTCAGTCACCACTGATTCCACTGGATACTGACCTGTGTCAAATGAAGGAGTAACTTCTAGAGACACCAGGTCTTTAATGTTGATTTGGTGAAGAATGATTTTTTTCCCTTCTGACAAAGATGATCAGTATGAATGTTGCTGTTAATAATCATCCCATTCAACGGTGTCAGAGACTGCTACATGTCATACTTGATCTAGATGAAATGAGAGAATCCCAGAAAAAGCTGGCTGCGAAGTTCTTGTTTTCAGGAGTCTTGTTACTTCTCTTAGTCCGCTTAGATCCGTACTTAATTCCTTCAGAAGGTGGCATGGAACTGATGACTTCCTTGTGTCCATTCCCTGCTTACTTTCTTCTCCAAGGTCTATTCAAGCCATATGCCTGAACACCAGATGGCGGCATTTGTTTGGAAAACACTAAAATGTCCCCATCTTGCACAAAACGTGCTTTCTGGTTCTTCAGCTTCGCAGGAGCTTACTAACTGCATGACAGTCTTGCTGTGAGCTGTAGTATCCAGTTAAGCCCTGAGAACGGCTCTGTGGCAGGCTGCTAAACAGACAGCAAACTGAGAAGCCTGAAAGTCTCAATTCTGCAGAGTTTATCATGAAAACATTTTTGGAGCTCAGCAATTTTTACATCACTATTTCCAGGTTTATGGCTTCTTAGATAATCCAACCTGCTGTGTAGGTGGGATTACAGATGAAAAGTGTATCTGTACTGTCTGTCTGTATCTGTAGTACTGACTGTACTACAGTCTGTCTGTAAGAAGTTATATTCACAGTAGATAATCTTCAGTTTAATAAACAGGTCTGCAGCAAAGTATTTTCAATAATATTCAGCATTAATGTGATTATTATGATCTGATTTTTCTTAAATATATATCTCTATCCATTGAACTAGTTAAATAATTTCTTCTTGCATGCATTTTAATTAAGTATATAGAATTAATATTCAGTAACAGGAACCTTCTTTCTATTTCAGGACAATATTCCTATTCATTGTTATCCTTTATTATGTGTGTTTATTTTGTTAGGAATTTTGTTTATCTTTTAAGCTGCTGGGACAATTAAAAAACAGTACAGAGTTCTTTTTGGGCTTTGCCTGGGGTGCTGTATTTAGGTCTATTATTATTATAATGCATTTTTAAATTATTATGAAAATATTGATAATTTCTTCATGAAACTTGAAAATGTTAATTATGTAAAATTTTGTCACTCTTTGTTACTGTCTTGTAACTCAATATTTAAAAGCTGAATATATGCACTACCACATGCCATTAAATTCTGTTCCTGCTAAAATACTGGCAGATTTTTTTTTAACCAAACTTTCATCTTAGTGTACTAATTTATTGATATGGTAGGTAGTTGTCCATACTAGGCATTAATCCAGTTGGTAAACTGCAGCAGGTTTTCTGTATGTTATTATTGTCACTAAATTTCTGTGCTCAAAAGGGAGCTTTTTATGGTTCTCCAAAATCTTTGGATATTAATTTGGATCTTTTGAGTAGTGTTGGCATCATCTTTTGCAATATTTTTATAGTTAATTTTTAAATTGAAATGCCTATATCAATTTAGGCAATGTATGAAGACACTCGATGACACTTTTCAGAGCTTCAAAGTTCACTTTAGGTACTCTTTCTGAGTATCACTAAGTCTAAAATGGTATCTGCAAGCTCCTATTTTTTATGCTGTAGTTTAAATTTCAAAGGGCTTTTAACAATCCTCAGATATATAAAAATACTTCTGCTTTGCCTTTCAAAGCAGCTGTAGGGATTTGTTTGGAAGATCATTTGGATTTACCACTGAATGCATCAGGTACATGCACTGTTTTGATAGCTTCTCTTGCTTTGTACATTTTTAGAATGTAGTATTTGAGCATTAAATTTAAATTTTAAATTAAATTTTTAAATTTTAAATTAAAATTTTTAAATTAAATTAAGTCTTTAAAAATACCCCCAACATTTAAAGTCCAGAAGGCTACTTGTCAAGAGATGACCTTTCAACATGGTGATTAGTAATCAGGGTTTCAGTTTACACTTTGAAACACATTTTTCTTTGGGGCCACTAAATTTTATAGGATAGTTCAGCAGATAATAAAAGAAAATCAGGTAAGTATTATGTATATGCATTTTAATATTTATGATTTAATACTTGAACTAGTTGCAGATATTTCTATTACATGCATATGCTTTTGTAGGGTGATATTTAAATGATAATTTCCTTTATTATTCTGTCTTCCACATCTTTCCTGCTTGTAAGATGAATTAACAAGAATTATTTTGAAATAAAGATCTAAAATGGAAGAAAAATAGGTAGTCTGTTATTTTTAAGACTTCCTTTATAAGAGGCAATTATGCTCCCAGTCTGTTATTCAGAATTAGGTACTGTAATGAAAGTGTTGGATTTTTTTGTATTTTTGTCAAGAAACTTCGGTCAGAGTAGAGGACCAACAGAAAGGTTAAACCTTCTGTTTACCTTCTAAGGTATGTAACAGGTTGGAAACATTCAGAACGAAGAACAGGAGTTCTAAGTCAATTTTATTTGTGACTCTAAAGCGTAATTATTTATAGATAAAAGCTTGCTACAGGGGAAAAATTTAATATTTGGAATTCAGAAATGGTTATATTTATGCAATGCCATACTCAGACTTGAATAATTTATCTCTCTTTCAAAATGGGAACAGAAATAAAATTAATCATTTCTTCAAATACTGTAAGTTAAATAAATCAGCAATGCTGAAGGAGGAATGCAGCAGTGGTTTCCTTACCCTATAAAGCCTTGCTTTATAGGATGGAGTATGACTTGGAGACTGTGCTGGTTTCAAATGTCTAGTATGGGGCTGTGTTTTGGGTTTGTGATGAACACAGAGTTGATAATACAAAGATTTCTATTATTATTGAGCAGGCCTTCTATAGAACCTTTCTGCTGTTCATACTGCCACACTGGTGAGGAAGTTGGAGGTGCATGGGAAGGTGGGAGGAGACATAGCCAGGACAGGTGACCCAAACTGAACAAAGGGATATTCCAGGCCATGTGGCATCAGGCTCAGTGTATAAAGTATGGGGAAGAAAGAAAATGGGTACATCTGGAGTGATGACCTGTATTTTTCCAAGTAACAGTAAAGCATGATGGGGCCATGCTCTATTGGTTTTGCTCTATTGCTCTAAACACCTGCCTGCCACTAGAAGCAGTTAATTAATTCCTTGTTTTGCTTTGCTTGTGTGCATGGCTTTTGCTTTCCCTGTTAAACTGTCTGTCTCTCAACCCATGAGTTTTATGGCCTTTAGCCTTCCAATTCTCTCTGCAGTCCTGCTGGTAAAGGAGTGAGCAAGTGGCTGCCTGGGTGCTGGCTGGGGTGAAACTAGGACAGAGGCAAGATAAAGGACATGACTGGAGTGAAACCCCCTGAGGTGGTTTGCCACAATGCTTTTCTCTGTTGGAGAGAAGCAATGAGACATGAATGAGCAAGTGAGAGGGCTTCTAGATTCTCATCCACTTAAGGCTTTCCTACTGAAACTAAGTAAACTGATGAAAAAACTAATGAAACGGAAACTAATTTTTCTACTGAAACTAACCTACTGAACCAATTCCACTCAGTTTTCTTGTGATGGTAGTATTGATCTGTGACAAGAGGAGCTGCCCTTTGCTGCATGACCTCTTGAAGCTGAAGCAGCTCTAAGGTCAGAGATTCTAGCCCTGGACTGAGAGTGCTCTTCAGATTTAAATGAGGAAGGAACAGCAGCCATGTGGTTTTACTTGCTTTCTTAACTGACTGCCTTCTCCAACCCATACAGCACAGATGTACATCTGTGTGTATCTATGGAGGTCACCTGTGTGATCTAAGGCTCTTTAATTCTTAACAATTTTTCAATTTTAGTTCTTTGAGGGAGTCCTGGGAAGACCTTCTTATCCAAAGAATGGTCTTTTTGATGATTGCCTGCTGAGACATAGAAAGTGACCATTTTATAAATTCCTTGCTTGGTTTTATGAGAAAACCTGTCATTATCTGTGTAAATCTTAAGTAATTTTTTTCATACAGTTTCCTATAAAAGATTCTGTGACAACAGTGCTGCCAAGGGTTTCTTTTGAACTGCGTTCTAGAATTGATTGAGAAGAGGTTGGGGATATAAGAAAGACAAGAAGATGAATGTGTGAGTTTTTGGCTGAGGTAGACAAGAAAATTAATTTGCATATAAATCCTCTTTTCCACGGGTTTTATAATTTCTGTTGCTCACATATCTTATTTGCTGTTAAGATAATTAATATTGAAAACACAGTTTTTACTCCAGTATGAAGCTGTTCATTTAAAGAACGAGAATTAACAAAACTTTCTAAAACATTGTCTGATTTACCTTTGTTAGCAAAGCTTGCTGAAGAATGAGAAAAATCAAGAAGAAATGGTACTTCAGTTCCTTCTGGATCTCTCTAGTCAGTGTGGTGTCTCATTTCCATGTACTGCAAGCGGGACGTCTTTTGAGTTAACATCTTCCCTTCATACCATTCAGGATGATTCAGCTGTGGATGTGAAATCTCTTTGGGATGATGTGAGATTGCATCTTCGACAATTTTTAGTAAATAGACTACAAAGTCAAGAAGAAACAAACAGGAATGCTTTACAACAACAAATGGAGTTTAAAACTCAGTGTGTACAGCAGCTTTTGTTTCTTTATCCCAAATCAGAAGTATTAATGAAGTATCAAAATATGCAGAATAAACTGGTTAGTGATCTTCTACAGAACTGTATTTTGTCTAGTTCTGGTGAAACAAATTTTGATAAGGTGGTTAATGGTTACCAAAGTTCTATACCCAGATTGTGCACAATGATAAAAGAGGATTTGTATATATTAAGTGGAACTGTTGGTCCATCTTCGTCATTAAAGTTTATTAATGAAACTTACCTGGATACCATCACTGAAGAAATGACAGTTCTTCTTGAAAGACTTTGTGAGCTGCAGTTCAAAGAAAATGCTCTACACATAGTTAAAGCAAACAAGATTTCAAAGAAGCATAGAGGAACAGTTCACACTATGGGTTAGTAGTCTTATTTTATGTTCTTTGTAGTTAGATATTATTTTAATTATGCTACTTTATATATATATACTTGATTATTTTCTGTGAAGAGGGAGACCCAAAATTAGTAATTGCAGCTTCATGTTTTAAACATATTACTGCAGTTGAATTCTAGACTGTGTCAGAATTGTAGTGCAAAAGTAAGGGAGAGTAATTCATGTAATTTAACAAGACTCTATTATAATCTGGATAACACTGTCATGTCATAGTAATTTTTTTCAGCCTGTTTTATTCCAGCTGATGAAGTATGTATATACTAGAATAAGAACTATTTAATTATAATATATTATAATTTAATAATAAGAATAATATAATAAGAACTATTTTAAGTTCTTATTATACTCATACTTCTTATACTCTGTAAGTATACAAGAATAATATAAAAACTATTTAATTATAATTTATTTAAATAGATTTAAATAAACACAAACTCTTCAGTCTTCTACTATTTTTTTTTTCATTTTCAGATATTTAAAGGAGATTATAGGAAAGACAGTACAGTAATGTGTCCATGAAACAGCTACTGATTCACACATCAGAGCTGTCCCAAAAGATTTCTCTGCAGAGTCTAATTCTCAGACTAAGAAACAAACAAAAAACCCATTTACACTTTGTAGTTTTGTGAAAGTACATTAAGTTAGAGTTAATACCGCCTGGTCATTTTTTGTTGTTCCAAGAAATGTCAAGTGGGAAAGGAATCTGTTATTGATGTAGTATTTTATGTATTTTCTTTTTGCAGTTTTTAAGTCTTGACATACTAATTTCCAAATGGAAGAACCAGTGCTTTGGAAAAAATTATACAGAATAGAAACTTCCATAACATAATCGCACAATTGTATGTGATTACTTTTTCAATGCAGTGTTTTGAGCGTATCTCTGTTCAGGAGCTGTTTGTTTAAAACATAGCTTTCCATAAAGTGATTTGCGGACAGAAAATATTAGAAGTTTAGGATCATTTGAAAAACACAGAAACAGAAGATCTTTGAATTGTGCAGCATAGAGAAAGAATGAGTCAGGTGATTCTTTGTCAGATTTATACAGAAGAAAATTACACACTTCTGAATTTTAAAGTCAGCGTATGTGTTAGTGTAAGTCAGCTAAAAATTCCAGTGGAAAAAATGCAAATATAATTTTTCAACAGGAACTGAAATGTGGAGGAATATTGGAACATGTGAAGGACAAGGAAGAAGACATGCAGACAAATAAGTTGAAAGGATGAGAAGTTCAGTGTATATACTAGTGGGATACAGTGTTGATGGGAAACAATGAAAAGAAGTAGTGACAGAGTACCGTTGAGATACGAAATAACAAGGAATGTGGTTTTGAATTAAATAGTGAGATGTGAGTCAGTGAAAGGATTCACTGAGATAAAAAATTACCTGTGGTGAAGAAGTTTGTAATTTAATTTTTTTTTCATTCTCAAAACAGCTCATGAAGATGTGGAAGTTATCTCCATTTTATGTGGAGGTACTAAAATATGGAGTTTAAAAGTGATCACAAACGTGTCTCTCTGAAAAGTCGTACTTTAACCCTGTATTGCAAGACAGAAGAAAACAGTTATTCAATCTATTAATGCAGTACATCCTCTGCTTAATTTTTTTGATACAGGATGTGACTTTGCATGTGTTTGTGCCAGTACATCTATCAGTACAGATTTCCAGTGCATATTTCTCTTATATAGTCAAAAATGCAGGGGGAGGTGAAAACAACCAAAGTAAATCTTAGAACTTACTTGCAACTTTAAAAAATTTTCCACAATTAATTAAAATATAATTTTTCTATTTCATAAATATTAGACCAGATTTTAATTTTTATTGAAAATTCATTAAATCTTGGATTCCAGATGCAGCAGCATAAAATATGTTTGGAATTTCTGTTAATTTATATAATTTAATTCTCAGGATTACATTCTTCACAGGGGTTGTCATAGTTGTTTTTTCATGTTATTCTACTTCAGGAAGTTAGTATGGGAAGTAGGTATTGATTTGCCTACTGGTTCTCTACTGTTCCTACTAGTTTTCTGCAGAAAATGGCTCTTACTGACTTCAGGCAGGAAAACCATAAGGCACCAATAGTGAAATCAGAAATAAGAAGGCTAAAACAAAATATGAGATCAGAGTTGTGAAGTTTTGAATGTGATTTTTTTTTTTTTTTTTTTTTTTTTTTTTTTTTAGTTTTCTGGACATGTAGAAATGTCTGTAGCCTGTAATTTGGTATTATTCATCAACTCAAGCAAAAATTATCCTGGTATTATTATTAAAACAGCTATTACTGAGTAACTTATTTGTATATGAGTTTGTATGTGAAGAGCCTTTTTTAGAAAGCGATTTCTCTCCTACAAATGCATGACTATACTGTATTTGTACCACACTAAGTTATATAAACGCATTTTTTTCCTTTAGAATTAAAATGTTCACAAGGCAATTCATAGTGAAATAACTGTTTGGGAAATATTCTAAGAGGTCTGTAATGGTGGAAAAGTTCTTAATGTCAAGTGACTTTTCCTACTTAGAGGTGTTAAATTCTGGTACTTTGTTGCCCTCCAACAAATTAGAGTGGAAATTTAATTTTTCCATTGATTTAATAGATTACCTTGGCAATGATACCCAGTTAGCCAAGTATCAAAAAAAACTCGTGCATAAATATGGAGGGAAGGACAGAAAGAAAAGGTTTTTTTCTTAGCTGAAAGACAGATGTGTTTCTTGTTTTTTGATGTATGTTGCCTCTGCCCTCTGGGAGCCTTCAAACTAGCACATTTCAGAATATCAAAATAATTTAATCTAGTGCATTCAATTGGGACTGTTATCCCGGAGGTGATAGAAGGGTTTGTGTTTGCTTAGTCCATCCTCAGGGTAATGTGGTTTTTAGTTGATGTTTGTTGTGGGTTTTTTTTATAAGAACTGCTGTAATTGATCCTACTATACAGCATAGGAAAAAAAATAACAGAAAATAATAAAACAGTGCTCAGAAAACTTTCTGTAGACAACCTATTTCTTTTGGTAAAATAGAAATAGTCTAAAACAGGCTTTAACAGTTATCTTTAAAATATTCCATATATAATAATCTCCCTGTGAAGTAAGGAATTAACAGTTTTCTTTTAATTCTGTATTAAAGCAGTTATTTGTGAAGTAATATAAAGAGATTGTTTCCATTTATCAGTACCTAGTAAGTGTGTGGATTGACAGAGAAGCTGTCAAAATGGCATGTGAAAAGAAGCAAATTTTTGGAACTCAGCATCTTCAGTTGCCAGCTCTAGTGGAGGCAGGTGGTTTTATGTTACAACTTGATCCTCTTACCTGTTAGATCTGTGCCTCTTATTACCTTTAGCAGTGAAGGATTCAGTCTATAGTATTTGGGGTCTTATTGTAGGAGGTTTATATATAACATGAATTATAATTTCTCTGTGTACTTTCAGAACAAAATCAGTGTTTCCAGCATGCTAGAATAATATGCAAGGAATATTTCCCAATGCAGTACTTCAAGTTTTTTGGGTTATTAATGGGATTCTGTTGTTTCAGACTTTCTATCATATTAATAATTTGCATCTTTCAAAAGTTTATGTAATGTTGTGGTATTTAAAAGTAAGAGAAAAATATCTGTATGAAAAGTATCCATACTTAGCATGGAAAGAATCACAGCTGGTTTTCAGGTTGTCTCATGATTTTTTGCTTTGATTTCCAGTGTGGTATTTCTCAGAAATTATTTGTTCTATATCTGTCTGTGTATTGTAGTTTTACCTTTTAAACCTTTTTTGTGTTCCTTTGTTTGCAAAAATGTTAAGCTAGTTTAATCAGGCATGATTAACCTATATTAATAATAATTTGTTATCTGTTAGATAAAGAAACAGCTACTCTTGCAGGTGATAAGACACCAGCCAAAGAAACTTAAACCCCATCGAATTATGAACAGTTTATGTATTAATGGAAGATTTTCTTTGGCTTTATTTATATAGTTTTTGTAAATAAACAGAGCAAAAATACTTATGTAGAGTAATCTGCTGATTTTTTAAAATTTCCTGTGGCTAAAATGAAAGAGAGATCACAGTTTAAATTTTATTTTTTTCTGAGATATTAAAATTCATTGGCTTAGTATTTTTAAATGTCACAAACTTTCCAGAGACCCTTAAACTTTTAAAATCATAACTGGACTCTGTTTTTAAAATCAGAGCCAATAGATATTGTGTTTCTAAATATCAGTAGTTCATTATTTTTAAGAAAAATATTATTGCAGAATGGAGGTAAACTAAAATGATGCTGATTTGACTAAGCACATTTTTACCTAGAAAATAATTAAAATACTTTCAGAGATATACTTTGATATTAATGTATTACGCTTTTACTCCAGTATATATCCTCTTAGTTAGATGTCCAGCAGGCTTTGTTTCTCTTCTCTTCTCTTTCTCCAGATTATAACCAACTTCCATTCTATTATAAAGATATATTTAAGTGAAAATTGTGATTTAAATTATATTTTAAATCTATTATCTTTAAATGTTCATGCGTTCCTACAGAATATTGTGTTTGTGGAACACCTAAAATTAATATTGCATATAGATAATCTTGAATAGAAGGATTTAGTACCATTTATACGAGCTGCATTTGTGCAGTGGAGTTGGGAACAAGAACAGAAACAGGCTCTGGAGTAACTTGTTGAAGTGAAGACAACTTTGGGATGTTAAATTAAAGTACTTTGTAAGAAAAATCTATTTTCCTCTCACTTCTACTTGCATATTCCCAGCAATTTCCTGAGGAGCTAACTTGAGATACGAGTTTTGGGTTTTGCACATTTAACTTACATTTGACTTCTCTACTGTGTTTAAGTGCATATGGTTTTATTCCCCCTAGTTTATAATTTCCTCTTTTTGAAATTAAGAGCTTTGGTTTCAGACTTGCTTTTATCATTCTGTATAATTTACACTCGCTTGGTTTGCAATCTCAATAGCCACCATTGTGGCCTACAGC